ATTATACACCAAAGTTAAGATGTAAAATTAATATTATAAAGATAATTATATAAACATAAATAGGTATATATAAAGAGATAAATTAAAAGAGTTAAATAATAATAAAGTAAGAATGAATAGTAATGGATGACCAAATTTGGAGTAACACTATTCATTCTCATTTTGAAGGCAAAAATAAAGGAGCACTGGAGTCACATTTTAGCGAAAAAATGTTAGCATTATAAAAAAATGAGGGAGGATTGGAGATGCCCTATGAATAAGGAAAATTTTATCATCCAACCACGTTCCTTATTTATATTTGTTTTACTACAATATTTCTTTTTCGGTAATAAAATGGTGGTAACTGACATAACATCGGTGACTCTTGGTAAATGTTCTCTCAGACATTTTTACGGCGTTACTTTTTTAATAAAAAACTCATGTTTAAAAAAATAACTAAGATATTAATTATTATGTGTACATTACGAAAAGTAAGATAATAATTTCACAGAAGGATAAAATTTTCTATAAACCCTTAAAACTAGGTACCAAAATCACACATTCTAAAACTAGGACACAAATTAGATCATGTTTATAAACTAGTAGGTACTAAAAATGCAAATTTTCTTAAATCAAATACGTTGAATCTTGTATTTCAACTCTCACCAACCAATACTATGGTAGATGGAGAGAGTAATAAATATGGCCCAAAATATTTGTGGCCACTAATATTAACGGCAGTGCAATAGCCACACATATAGTGTTATTGGGGGAGGAGAAAAGGGTCCCACAAATGCTGTGTTGTCTCAATAGTAGTCTAGTATTCTATATGCAAATCCAATTCCCTTATCTTCACTACCTTTAATTAAAATCTTCTTGAAATCTCCTCCAGTCATTTAATTGTCTAAAAGTTGCCTTCTTTTTTATAGACTCTCTGCTTCTTTCTTATTCTTTCTCCCATTTTCCCTTCTCTTTCTTTGATTGGACTCATCACCTGCTTTAGATTTTTTGTTCATCTGCCGACACAAAGTTTGGTTTTGGTCTGACACTTTTCACATACCAGAATTTGTGTAGTCTTTAATTCTTGAAAATACATCTTAAAAGCTTCCAAACAAAAGATTTCCTCTTTTTCTTGTGCTAAATTCAAAAGGGTATGTCCTGAAGAGGCAAGAGTTGAGAGGTATTAGTAGTAATAAAGATGAAGATCCAGTGTGATGTATGTGAGAAAGCTCAAGCTACTGTAATTTGCTGTGCTGATGAGGCAGCTTTGTGTGCTCAATGTGATATTGAAGTTCATGCAGCAAATAAACTGGCAAGTAAGCATCAGAGGCTTCATCTTCAGTGCCTCTCTAATAAGCTTCCTCCTTGTGATATTTGCCAAGTAAGGAAACTTTTTTCTACTTTACATTCAATCAAACCTATCTATAATAGTCGCGTTTGTTCCCATATTTTTTTGATGCTATAATGAATTGTTGTTATAAAGGACATATAATATAATATATCATAAAAGATAAAATTTATCTTTTATAATGAATCATTATTATATAATGATGATGTTACATAGAGGTTTGACCATGATAATATGTGCCCTGTTTATAGAATTAATTTGTTCTGGTCTAGATTGTGTTAACATGTCAATCCTAAAGCTAAGTTGGTCCTTGGCTATTGAAAATTTAACTTTACATATTCCTTTTGATTAGAGGTCTTGTTAGCTTATTAGAGGTTAAGGAACTAGCCGGATTTATTTATTACTTAATCTTTAATTTATTATTGTCTCCCACTACATATACCGTTAGGTTGCCATTTTATGTAGTGTATTTAGCAATAATAGAGTTTATGCTTTACTACAACAACAAGCCCAGTGTAATCCCATAAAGTGGGGTATGGGGAGTTTAATGTGTGTGCAGACCTTACCCCTACCTTGTGAAGGTAGAGAGGATGTTTCCAACAGACCCTCGGCTCAAGGAACAGTAAAAAAGAAGCGACCAACAATAACAAGAAAAAAACAAAGACACAATGTGTAATGATAAAGATCTATAAGAAATGCAAGAATAGTACTAGTATTACTCGTAAGAATGTAATAACAAAGCTCTAGAAACAAGAAAATATAAGAATATTACTAATAATATTAGTAAGACTAGGAGAAATCCTTGACTACCTATCAACCTTCAACCCGGATTCTGATCTCCACACCTTCCTATCGAAGGTCATGTCCTCAGTAAGTTGAAGTAACACCATATCCTACCTAATCACTTCTCCCAATACTTCTTGGCCTACCTGTACCCTTCCTCAGACCCGCCATGGTCAACCTCTCTTACCTCCCAACGAGAGTGTCTATGTCTCTCTTCATCACGTGCCCGAACCGTATCATGCTTTACTAATGAAAGTAAAAAGGGGAGAGAGGGTTCCCACTTTCCAGACTCATGTCTTAAACCTCATACCATAAGTATTGCAAGGGAAACATGAGTTATAAATGTAGAATTGGGCATAATAAAATGGTTTGATGGATATTTCATCAAAATAAATGGTTTGATGGTTGAGGGATAGTATATGTTTCCAATTGAAAAAGATAATATAGCGCTGAATGTTTGTTTAGGTGCACATCATGAGTTTGAACCAGCTGGGAAACTAACTCTAGTATCTAAGCTGAGAAGAGTAGAGGAGCAGACTTAATAACTTATTATCCACAGAGTTTCGAAGTTGGAAACACCAAATAGTGTAGGCTTTCAATTGTTGCACTATCTGGAAGTAAGAGAAAACTACAACGACTACAACAAATCCAGTACGCGGACCTTACCCCTACCTTGTGAAGGTAGAGAGGTTGTTCCCAATAAACCCTCTGCTCAAGGAACAGTGACGGAAGTAAGAGCAAACTGAAAAAATAAAAAATCCGTTGGCAGGTTGACCTATGATGGTGTGACCCTTTCAAGGACCGGAAACCTCAAACGAAATACCATGTCTATCTTATTGCAGATATCTACTCGTACCTTTGGAGGTCCTTAAATAGTCTACAACAAGCTAAGAACATGCGTATGTGAGTCGAGTGATAATTCTTATTTGGAGAACCTTGAGAAGCTAGGGAAGATGATCTTTCTGAACATGGTTAATTATCAGAAAATGAATGTAAACAGGCCAGAAAACAAAAAGGGAACTAGAGGACGTCAACCTTATATTCCCAAAGAATTTAACATACTTTGGGAGACTTCATTATTACTATCGTTTACCTTGAACTGTCATGTATGCAGGATAAAGCAGCCTTCATCTTCTGTGTTGAGGATAGAGCTCTTTTTTGCAAAGACTGTGACGAAGCGATTCATTCTGCCAGCAGCCTTGCTGCAAACCACCAGCGCTTCCTAGCCACTGGAATTCGAGTAGCCTTAAGCTCAAGCTGTAATAAGGATGCAGTAAAAACCCAATTGGAGCCACCACAACCACCTCAGCAGAATTCCCAACAAGTTAGCCTGAAAATGCCTCCACATCAATTGTCCGGTATCACATCACCATCTTGGCCTGTTGATGATTTTCTAGGATTTCCAGATTATGATTCGACTGATAAGGTAAGGCAAACTTATTTCTTTTTCATTTTTCTTCAAGTACCCTTGTCGGAAATTTAATATTTGTCGGAAACTTTAGTGATGTTTCACACACACACACACACATATATCCCATATCAAAAATGTTGGATTCAGCTAAATCCATGGAACCTATATTGCATCCGCCTTTGCTCTGACATGTAAGACTTTCTAATATTTCTTCCAAGGAGTACATGTTATAACCATTCCATGTATCTATGAAGTTGGCCTAGCACAAATTTTAGTTTAATCTATGAATTTATGATGACCCTTGATTCAATATTTTCATCTGTCTTTTTGACAAATAACGATTTGATTGTTTCAACTTATACAGAAGGAGCTGCTTGAGCTTGGTGAACTGGAGTGGTTGGGAGACATTGATCTCTTTGGTGAACAAACAGCAGCTGAAGTACCTGAGCTATCAGTATCTCAGTCGAGCAACACACATAATATTTACAAGCAAACCAGATATCAAATGTCTTACAAGAAGCCCAGAATTGAAATCCCAGATGATGATGAGTACTTTACAGTTCCAGATCTTGGTTGAACTCCAATGTCGTGAGATTCCTATTTAAACGCTTAAGTGTGCTTTCGTGTAGTACTTAACCTGTGCACTCATACTGTCAACAGATATGTTTTGTAAGTAGTAAGTAGAAGAAACATTATTCTGCTTAAGATAGTCTTTATCTTGTGTACTTTCGCCTCTCAGGTTGCATCAGGCTTCTTATTCTTAAGTCTACAATAAATTCACCTTAAAACACAGTGAGGCATTCTTCGATCGACATGTCATACTAATTGCAAGAGCTGGAACACGACGCTGTGTGTTTTTTCATTTTGGAAACTAATACTAAGACATTTGAAATTTCTGGACTTGCCATGACGAAAATGCAAGTTGGACGTACAAATCCATTCTCGAAGAAAGTTTCAATTTCCTCTCCCTTAGTTTGTTCTCTTTCTTTGAGCTAGTAAAACCTTCTATTGTTAAGAGAGCTACAACATTTTAAGTTCCAACTGCAGTTCTGATACTCAAGTTTTACAGAATCAAGTTGTTTTGTTCATTACTCAATAGTTACGATTTCACCTCAAACCACAGGGACAAGGCATCCAAGTGCTTGAGGTTAATTATCTCTCAAATATAACCGATTTTCTGGTTCAAGTACTGCATTTTGCAGTTAGTCTAAGCTAGACTATCTAATTATGAACTCTTGAGCAAAATTTCCCTACTGGGGGGGCAGGGATTGATGAAAAAGGAAATTGCTGAAAATTATTTCCTCTCCTAAACGAAATTAACTTAAAGTGAAACAGATGTAAGAGATTATATAGTACCACTCATCTAGTTAAGAGTTGAAGCAACTAGTGATTGATTGACTCCAACACAACTTATATAAAACTTGAACAGGCCGAAAGCAACTCCAAACGAAAGGTAAAATGAAAAATTCCACCGACAAATCAATAGGAAGAAAGCTTAGTTTATTAAGTGACTTAATGCAATGTCTTTCATCATTACAAGAAACCATTAAAATGCGAAACCCCGAAAGTGAAAAATGAAAGGCTGAAACTACCTTGATTGATTGAAAGGAAAAACTCGTAAAGGATCGAAATATATCACGATTAAAAAGAATTAAAAGGGTAACATCATCTTCGTCCTATGCTCCTCCCTTAAGCAAAGTGAGGGCTTCAGATTCAGTAGGAAGAGCTGGGATTGCTCCTTTCTTGGTTGTTGTGATAGCTCCACATGCACATGCAAACCTTAGTACTTCCTTCAGCCTTGCTTCATCCTATATTTTTAGTTTTTCCACAAATTAATTAACTCCCATTATCTGTTTAGGGGTAAGAATTATAAAGGTATTAGTATTAATTATTACCTCAAGAATGGATTGGTCATCAACAATCTTGGTTAGAAGGGCACCAACAAAAGAATCACCAGCTCCGGTAGTGTCAACAGTCTTCACATGGAATGCCTCAACGCCTCCATGGAAATTCTACATCCCAAAAAATAAGTTAGATCAAATTATTAGTAGTAACACATTACAAACTTCTCTATCCAAATTTATTTTATTTTAGATAAATTCTTACCAAGGAAAAGATATAGGTATATAGATGTACTCTATGTGAAAGGTACAAATAACTAAGCCTAAGTATGGCCTACTAAAAGTACTTATGGATGGTTAATGATGTCGGCATTCTGTCCATGTTTCTCTACTATACAATGAGTAAGCACACGACTACTATTCAACTTTGTCAGTGTATTAAAATCACAGATTCTAATTAATAAAAGAAAGACCAAAAGATATGCGTCCTTATTGGCTATGAAGGGACACTCAGCTTAATTACTAATTAGCAGTACGGCGAAAAGTGAAGAATACTTAAAATTATGGCATAATCCTTCTGACCTTTAGGCTAAGATAAGTGGAAGAAACAAAATTATGCACACTCAATGTAATTAAATAGTGCCAATTCGTGCTAAGTGCTGTCGGTCCACCTTTAGCCTACTTGGTACGACTTTAATTATTACAATTAAACACTGTGGTTCATTTCTTCAAAGTCCTCACTGACCCCCTCTTTCCACTTTACAGCTATGGTACTAGAGAATTCAATAACAAGCAACCTACCTAATAAAGTAGGAGTAACAAAGAAAGGTAAAAAGGACATTATTTAACTTATATACAGTGAGAGGGCATATACACTGCACTGAGAGGTAATTTTTTATATTTTAAATTCTTATTTATAGATAACTTATCTTTCAAAATTTTATCGACGATACTAATAGTAATCTAATAGCATAAAAAGTGTTTAAATTGTGCCTAAGTAATATAATCTCTTTTTTATAGTGGTTATAACCTCTACAAAATGACAAATAAATAGGTAAAAGAGTAGAGGGAAGTTATACCTTAGTGTAATAATTGCAGCCTTTATCGCCAAGGGTGACCAAGAGGAGCTTCAAATTGGGATGCCATAAGGACATGGCAGATTCGTCATCAATCTTGTCACTTCCAGTTAGGAATTCCAGCTCCACATCACTCACCTTGATCACATCTGCCTTGTCCCAGATGCTCTTGATTTGCTTCCTCGCCTCCTCTGCCGACGGCCACAGCGGCAAACGGAGGTTTGGGTCATAAGAGAGCAATGCCCCTGCCTCCTTTGCCACTTCCATTGCCTTCAAATGTGCTGATCTGCATGGCTCCACTATCAAACTAATCGATCCGTAGTGGAACACCTTAGCCTATTACATAATCACAAAAATTTAATCTCAGTAATTAGTTATTAATTACCAGAAAAATAAACACAAGGTAAACTTGGATAAATAGTTGCCAAACGCAATGATGAAGTTAGGTGAATGCTGAAACTTACCGTTTCTATAACTGGGCTAGAAATCAGAGAAATAAAAAAAAATCACAGAGAGATATTAAGGAACAAAACAAAATTTTGGGCCGAGAGGGATGATTCCTAGGGGACCATATTTCTTCTATCTTCCTGTCATAATCAATAAAATCAAAATATTCCATGATCTTTTGCCAAATGACATTCAATTCCGACGCTAAAAAATTAACAAATTATCTTCTGAACTGAAAAAAAAATGAGAAATTAGATTTCACCATCATAAATGTTACTAGTATTCCAATTCCATTCAGTATGAAATTGAGGATTACAGAACGAAAATCAAGACATTAATTTCGATTAATTATCCGTGGGGCTGACCTCAATGGGTACCAATGAATGACTATGAATCTATGAAAGTGACATCTGAAAGGATTTTTACTACTGCAAAAATTTACGGAATGTTTACATTACATTACATTTACTAAAATTAAGCCATCTAATGAGATAAAAAAAAAAATTATTCCCTTCGTTCACTTTTACTTGTCTCCCTAAAAAGTCATTTAGTCCTTACATTTGAGAAGAGAAGTAAGTACTACTATAACTAAGATGCAACATTCAATGAAGGGTAATTTAGTCACACTAATTATTTTCGTTTAGAATTTAGTATTTCTTTAATGGATGTGTCAAAAATAAATTGGTCACTTCCGGTGAATCAGAGGGAGTATATGATTATTGATCTCAAGTCTTAACCAATAAAAGGTCTCACTGATTGTCGGAAAAAGTTATTTTGGTAAACCAAATTGTTTTGTTTGCACTGAAATTAGTTTCATCTCTTACTACTACTAAATACTGCATACGTGTTAAAGGATACTATTAATACTCCTAAAAGAAGTTACTGTCACATAAAGTGTGACAGAAGAATAATGAATACATCACGCCAAAAACTCATGAAAGTGTGTAATGACGATATACGAGGATTATAGAGTGTATCACCCCAAGAGTCACTAGCCAGTAGAAAGTAAAACACAGTGAAAATTTATCCTCTGAAAATAAAATGTATGACATGTATCTGTATATAAATTATTTTACTAATAATTACTCCCTCCGTTCACTTTTAGTTGTCGAGTATTCTAAAAATAAATTTTTATTTTTACTTGTCACTTTTCACATGTCAAGAAAAAAATAATTTATTTTTTCTGTTTTTCCTTAACATTAATTATTCATTCCAAATCATTTTCTAAATCCATTAGGACAATACCAATTAATATGGATATCATGGTAAAGTATGCAATTTATTTATTATTTCTTAAGGGTGTGCAAAGTCAATAAGGGTAATTTTAAAAAAACAAATTGAATATTTTTTGATTATATAAATGGATATTTTTTCTGAACCAAAAAAAAAAAAAGCAAATTGAGGGGTATAACTACTCTAAGAAGATACTTCTAGTATTTTATTATTCCTAAGAGAACAGAAACAAATAGGCGCGTGGAAACAGTGCTGGGGATAGGGATAATGATATATGATCGCAAGGAGACAAGAATAGCTCTTTCAGATTTCAACACCTGAAAGGCAGGAAAGTTGCTAGCTGACAACTCTTAGAAAAATCCGTCTGTTCTAACACCCAGCTGCATTGCATGCATTGCAACATGACATACACTAGCTTTAAGGTTTTCCTCAATCATCCAAATTCTTCTTTTCCCCAATTTCCTCTCATAACAGAATTCCAGATTGACAAATTCTAGCTTTATATTAATCCAAACCGTTTAAAGAATAAAATAAAAAATGGAAAAAAATAATACTAATACTAGGTTTTTATAATAACATCAAACACTTGAAGATAGAAGGGCAGCCGGTACACTAAGCTCCCGCCACGCACGGGTCCGATGGAGGATCGAACAACAAGGTTATATTGTACGCAGCTTTACCCTATATTTCTATAAGAAACTGTTCTCACGGCTCGAACCTGTGACCAGACAACAACTTTACCCGTTACACTAAGACTCCCCTTCAAACACACTTCGAAAATATGACGAAGAAGTTTCTTGCTAATAAATATGCACGAGACTCTGATCTACTGATTTTGGGGTATTTCGGGTTGGATCTAATCTAAATTATAAAACTAATATCGCATCAAATTAGTCAAATAGAGGCACATAATAAATGAAGAGGAATAGAGAGGTCAGATAAGATAACAACCACCTACAGCATAATTTAATTGAATAATAATGATATATTATGTCCTTCTGTTACTACATTAATTAACAAAACTGCAGTTAAGTGAAAAAGACAACAACCAACCCACCCAAAAATAAAAATAAGTTTTACGTCCTTTTCAAATTAATTAACAAAACTACAGTTAAGTCAAAAACAGACAACAACAAACTCACCAGCTTCATAGCAGTGTAAACTAAGATCACACGAAAGGTCACGTGAGAAACACGCACAATCATAAAATGCAATGCGAGTTGGGAAACATAAAAAATAAATATAAAGAGATTTGATGACGATGGCACTTACAGATCTAATAACATCAAGATTCAACTCGTCGGGAGTGAGCAACATATCGGCACTGGGATTCCTGTAGAACATAAACTCACGCTCTCCGTCGGCGCGTAGGGTCACGAACGCCAACGCCGTTCTCGCGCCTTTGTCGAAGTTGATCCCGTCGGCTTGGACGCCGTTTTGTTTGAGTATCCCGGCGAGCATATGGCCGAACTCATCGTCGCCGAGTTTCCCGACGAACGCCGAGTTTCCCCCAAGCCTAGTCACTGCGATGGCGACGTTTGCCGGTGCACCGCCGGGAGCCTTCAAGAACCCCGGAGCCTCGGCAAGGGAAACGCCGGAGACCGTCGGCACGAAATCAATCAACATCTCGCCGAAGCTCACGATTAAACCAGAACTAACGCCGTTAGCTGCCATAGCGACGATGAATAGAGAGAATATATGTATATATGTAAAGTATATATCTATACAATAAAGAAGCAAAGATAGAGAGGAGAGGAGAGGAGAGAAAATCGAAGGAGGCATATATATAGAAGGTGGTGGTTGGAGAGGTTAATTAGGAGAGGAAAACTAGTTTATTAAGGAAAGAAAATAGAAAATTAAAAGAATTAACAATCAACCAAAAATCCTTTTTTTTTTTTTGTTGAAATAGAAGTATCATTTTTTTTGTTATGATCAATCTTGGATGGCACGTCACTTTTATGTGGATGTGGGGTCTTTATTTACTCGATTGAACATAAAGGAAATATACCACAAAAAAAAAAAAAAAAGAGTTTAGAAAAGAGAGAACTAGTATTTGGTACTAATTGGAAATAAAGATTTTGGACTAATAATTACATGTTCCTTAACATTTTCGCTTGTGACCCTATCTTTATGACTTATTATTGAGAGAAAATTAAGCTTGAAACTGTTAAATTATTTTTTTTTTCCCTCACTTGTCACTTATTTATAATAAATGTCACCCCAAATATATGTACACGATTCACTTATTCTGTTTGATTGGAATCACGCAAAATAATCTCCTATTACACAACTAATAATTACCTCTCCTAGTGTATTAACCTCTCTCTAATTAAGTTAAATAATTTAAACTAATCAACTAACTAGATCATTGATGGTTTAGGAACGATGTATAAAATAATTCATTTATATAAAAGTCTACCTTTATTGAAAGCCAATTGAAAACTTTGCGAACATAATTCCTTTTTTCTTTAGCAAGGGCTACTATGTCAACCAGTAAAATGCTACTGTAACTTAATCGTTCTCTTATTTGGTGATGATATAGCAAACGATAATAACACATTTTCTTTCATTTTTCCTGGTTTACTTACTAATATTTTTGTCAAAGTTCATTAATTTTATTGAGGAGAAGAAAACGGGGATGCCATCCAATTATATGTCTATGGATATGTGTTATCCACTTTTTCATAAGAAAAAAAGGCCTATGGATTTTTTGCCCTCAAAAAGAAATTTAGACATGCGTTATCCAAATATCTTTTTTTTTTCTTTTTTTCTTTTTTTCTTTTTTTACAAGATGTATGTATATTCCTTAATTTTCGGGTTATGATTATATTCTTGAATGGTACGTCACTTTTATGTGGATGTGGGGCCTGCATTGACTTGATAGAAGACAAAAGAAATAGGCGAAATACATAAACGGTCCCTTTAGGTTGTCCTCAACGTTTATATGGACACCTCAATTATGCTAATGACCAGAGAGACACCTCTTCTCGGCTAAAGTGTATCTCACTAACCCCTCACGATAATATGGCAAAGTGTGTGCTTTTTATTTATGTATGGGCGCGTGAAACCCTCAAAATTGTGTTTTTCTCTTTTTTCTTTTTAAATTAACCTTATTTTATAATGACCCCACTTACCTTCATCTTCGTACTTCTTTCTTCTTCGAGTTTTACCATTGATGAAAAACAAGAACAATTAAAAAGTTTCTTCCAAATTACAACAACAACAACAATAACTACCCAGTAAAATCCCACCAAGTGAGGTCTGGGGGAGGGTAATGTGTACGCAGACCTTACCCCTACCCGATAGGGCAGAGAGGCTGTTTCCGATAGACCCTCGGATCAGAAATGGAAAAAGCATAAATAAGCACACAATTTCGTCCAATATATACTATCACAATTGTTTATACAATCAATCACAAGCATTACCGTGATAATTAATTGGATAAATTAAATTTCACATCATTAAGTTAGAAGAATCATGTCTGAGATGAAAGTTACCACCATAAACTTTATGACTGAACTCTACCACCATAACCTCAGTCGCCGCCACCAACAGAGACATCACCTCAGGCGGTAAAGATGTTTGAGGCTCCTACACGATAAAAATTAAGACCAAGATCCAATAATTTTTTTATTGATCTTTACTGCTTGGGTTTTTCAAGAGAAAATCTTTTAAGAAATAAATAAATGAAGGGCGAATGGTAGCAGTCGACAGCCGAAAAACTTTTGATTTAGATTTGGAGTGGAAAGGCTCTGTCCATTATATTTTGGCTAAGAGATCAGATTTTGGGGAAGAAGAAGAAGTAAAGGAAGAAAAAGAATTGCAGCAATTTTTGGAAAAGCTTGAAAGAAGTTGAAGAAGAAAAGGCAGATGAAAGGTGCGATGGTCACGGGGGAAAGATGCGATGATTTTCTACTTGGGGCCTGGGGGTTCTATTTTTGGGAGGTGGGGCGTAAGGAAGAAGAATAGGTTGGGGGGTTTGGGGGGGGGGGGGGGGGGAGGCGATGGTCTAGTTGGAAATAAGGAAAAAGGTATTATTTTCTTATTAATTACACGTATCAAATATTTTAATTATAAATTACACTTGTCATTCTTTAATTGGTTTATTGACACAACACCGGCAAGTGTAACTCACGCATACGGTCTGCTCCACTCGGATATTTACTTGATACACTTAATAGTCATTTGAAGTGTCTAAATGATAAATTGGTCAATTGAGGTGTCCATCTAATCGTTGAGGACAACTTAAAGGGGCTGTTTATGTATTTCGCCAAAGAAATATCCTCCCAAAGAAATGAAGATTTTAAGCGAAGTAGAGAAATATTTTGTACTATTGAAAAATAAGATTTGGAAGTTATATTTATTTCGTCTGTTAAAATTTATATGTATAGCCAAGCAACTAGCTAGCAATATTTTAAAAAGAATTCATTTGTTAGACAAATAATTGTGATTAATTACCCCTCAAAAAGGAGAGAAAAATAAAAGTTTGAAGTATTTTCGTTATTTTTTTCCTTCTCTTATCATTAATTTAAGGGAGAAGGTTCGGATTTGTCGCTCTACTATTGTTTATGTTTGTCCCTCGTTATATTTTTCGTCCATTTTAGCCCCTACCGTTAATAAACTCTTCAGATTTTCCCCTAACCCTAATCGTCTTATATTGTGGCAGTTGATCCCTTCATTTTTGTCCATGTCAGCTGTCAAGTCAGATGGCCTCATGTCATTCACTAGAGAATGGGTCAACATCTGACTTCTTTTTAGACCTCAAAAGATTTTTTAATCGAGGCCACAAAATATGGGAAAATGATGTGTCGAACCAACAATGGAGTAATCACGACAACAAAATCAAATTTAACAGAATGTGAAGTGATTCACAACTGCAAGAAATGACAATAGTGAAAACCCAGCAGTAAGTTTAGATCCATGACCAACTATTTGGCGATGGAAGACAAACTTGACTATTTCCAGCTACAAGTTCAAATACTAGCTTCAACTATAACAAATGAAAGTGCTCTAAGGCTAAGTCTCTCAAGGTTGCAGATATAAAATTGAAATTGGTAAAGGGAAATGGCAAAGGAATTGATTTTTTTGTGTTCAGAATGGAAAAATCTACTAATTTGTGCATTCTCAAGCTGTTTGAAGAGCACGGACAACACAAATATAAAGTGAAAGAAGAAATAGTAGTAGGACTCTCAGGTTTTTCACAGTCAATTAGGGCATCTCCAACCTTGCCCCCATCCCCCATAATGAGGGCAATTTTTCGAGATATTTTACTCCAACCCTCCCCCATTTTTGTCCCCAAAATGGGGGATGAATAGTGTTCCCTCAAATATGGGGGTACACTATTTATCTCCCCCATTACTATTCATCACTTTTTATTATTAATTTATTATTTAATCTTTTATTTTATCTCTTTATATACACTTAATTATGTTTATGTAATGTTTTATAATATTAATATTATGCAATTCATCAAACACCTTGTATGCAT